AGAGAGAGATGAACATGGATTGTGTGCATGCATAGGAGGCAATCATCTGCAATCATCTTTAAATCATTCCACAGAAGAGACGAGAACAACGGACATATCACATTTAAAAAAAGGGTGCGCTAAAAGCGCTATGAACTATTCGCGCAGCGAACTGCGAATATAAAAACAGAATACAGGACGACATTGAATGATCTCGTCGTCGACTCCAACGACCGACACACTAAACACCTGCATTAAACGCAACACACACTATTGAAAACAATCAACCCGTCTTCGTGGCAGAGTCGACGCGCTAAACAAGTGCGCAACCGACGACGATTCTGCGGAATCCCTCTCGCGGACACACTAAACAGGTGCGCACTTTGTGACGGTGCAACCACAGTGAAGCCCATCACGACCAGCCACATGTACATGCGCCCGCGTCCACACAAGCAGCCCCCCCCCCCCCCCCCCCCCCCCCCCTTAGCGTCATCTTTCCCCTTATTGTTGTTGTCATCATCGGGGGGGGTGAACCCAACCAATCTAGCTTCTTTGCATCCTCCGGCCTCGTTCTGCTCGCGTCGTGCCTGCAACCAATGCCGCAGGGTGCCCATTGAGGGATGTAGTCCGGGTACTCTCCGAATGTAGCGTTCGCCTTCCCGAGCCTCTCTGTGACGGCTTTCGCGGCGCGGACGACGGATCGTCGATGATCGAAGGAGCGATGCATGGCCGCGACGAGTGTGGGCTTCGCCACGAGGTTCGCGAAGTAGAAAGCCTCGTAGTGGCTGCACGAATCGTCTCCCACCATGCGGATTATCCACATGAACGCCGCCAACAACAGCCTGAAGCAGTCAGCCACCCGACAAAGATGATCGTGCGAGATGAACTCGCCGTCGATGAGCGCCCCCATTTGCACCGCCGCGCGGAATGCATGCGCGACGCAGATGACGGTGGACTCCTGGTGCGCCGCCATGTCGTCGTCGTCCGGTCTTTCCTCGATGTTGGAGTCCGCGAACCACAGTGGCAGGTCCATGGACAGATCTATCGTGTGCACGCAAACCGCCGGACTGACGACGTCGCACCACTCCTCGCCGTACCACATAGCACGCGCAATGTCCGTGGCAAAGGATTCCAGCGAGTACTGGAAAGCCACATGGTATCCCCTTGGGCGGTTCCTGGACTTGAATACCCAACCGTGTAAGATGCGCAGAACAACGTTCTCCACTGCCGCCGCACGGGAGATCGCTTGCTGCAGCTGTGATTGGTCGACGATCCTGCCTACGAGCATGTTGGATTTGGGCAGTACAACGCTCCGAGGGACGGCAGGCGGTGGAAATCCGCTGGCGATGGCGACGAAGTACTCTCTCGTATCGTGAACGATGTTGTACAGTCTTTGCCCCTCCCCCATTGTCCTGAAAGCTTTGTCATCGACCCAAAGGACGACACGATCGATGAGGTCTTTTGTCATCACTCCCCTACTTACCCGGCTTGAATCGGGCTCGCCGGCCTCCCGATCGCCTTTCTTCTCGCCACGCGCCTCCTCTCTCGTCGTCGCCACAACTGCTGCCTCCTCCCTCGCCGTCGCAACGGGGGCCACAGTGCCTGAACCACCCGCCCCTGCAGCACCTGCCGCCTCGGCCCCAACTGCGCGCGTCTGCCACGACTTCCCCTCCGGCGCCGCGTTGGACGGACCCTCCATCACCACCCTCGTTGCGCTGACGTGGCTGAGACGGCGTGGCGGGCAGCCTACCCGAGACTGGCCTTTCGTTTACAGCAGCGCGTGTCGTCACCGCCGACAGTGGGGTCGTCGTTGTACGAGTGTGCATGCGACGTCTATCCAAGGGCTTGACATCCTCGCCACCAAGATCGACGACGACAACCTTCTCTGTCCGCATTTCGCAGCCACGCAGCTGCTGCGCCTCGGGTGGAGGGGTCAACATCCTCTTCGAAGCGGTGTGATCAGAAGAGCGCTGCCGACCGCTCTTCCGTACTTCAGACGTGGTCGCCTCTGCCTGCTCCTCCTCTGTCCTGAACTCTTCGTCGTAGTCCCCTTCCGCTGCTGCCGCCCAACCTTGCGCTCCACGAAGAGGCACCCTTGCTGACGCATCTTCCGAACGCACCCTCTTCGCTTTCGGGGCCTGCCGCCGACCTCTTCCCTGCCCTTGGCTATCGTCAGGGACTACGTCGCGCTTCTTCCCACGGGTGTTCCCTCGCGTAGACATGTTTCGTGGCGACCTCTGCAGGCAAGCTTGGCAGTGTGATCGGATGAGCGGGAAGTGTGGCCGACCTGGCGAGAAATATGTCTCCCGGAAGCATGTCTCCCGTGCTGCTGTGGCGTGACGACGACGACGTGCACGTGGTAAACAGAAGATCTGTCCTCCGCGGGAAGAAGACGTGACGACGACGGATACCCCCGCGACGCAGAAGATCTGTCCTCCGCGGGAAGAAGACGACGACGTGCACGTGGTAGACAGAAGGACGACGACCCCGGCAAGAGTACTCCGCGGCGAAAAGACTGGCGGCAAGAAGAATAGAAGAGCGACGCTCACAGTGATCCACGGCGAGATGATTGACGGGCGACGTCGGCGTGGTGGACAGAAGGATGCGCGCATTCCGAAGATCGTCCATGAGACGAGATGGCTAGAATGGCGTCGGCGGTGGTCGTCCAAGGAACTGAAGATGTTTGCGCGGAGCGGGCGACATTTATCCGCGGCGAGCAAGCTTGTACCACTTCCACGTCGTTGCGGTCGGTGTGCAGCAGGCGTGGCGGGCTTCTGTACTGGAGACACCTTCGTGCGGACGACATACAGGCGGGTTGGGATGCGCAGGACTTAAGTACTCTCTCGCAGATGGACCTCCCGCGACGTCGCTTCTTTGTGGCGGGAAACGATATCGTCGACGGTGGCACGTGCGACCGCCCTGCCCACACTGGCGTGTCATTTCGATCCTCCCGAAGGCGCAAAAAGACCCTTCGACGTCCCTGGCGACGCGGGTCAATTCACTCGCCAGGGACCGAACCCCTGGCCACCCCATCGCGTCTCCCCCTCGCACCCACCAAAACACCCCC